AAAAATAAAAAAGAATATTTTTTTTTAAATAGTTTCTTCAAACTACATCGGGTATTAAATATTGGAATTTCTTTATTGATTCAATGCGTTTACTTCAATTACGATATTCATCTCGATCAAATCGTATTGATATTTCATATTTGAATTTTATCTATAAATATTATTCTCAACATCATGAATTTCGTTCGATTACTATTGATTGTGGTGATACTCGAATGCCTGATTCGAATACGCCAGATTCAATATGGTTTCAAATGGCAATAAATGCAATGCATCAATTACGTATATATTGGTTACCTCGATATCTTAGTCAATTACCTTTATCATCTCAATTGAAGAAAAAACCTTCAACAAACGAATCAAATTCAAAACCATTTGATAATATTATTAACACATCATCAGAAAATGTTATTGTAACATCCGTCAATCATCGATCACAGACTAATTCAATAATAAACAAAGAACCTAATTTAGTTAAGTTTACTCTGGATAATATCTCTTATCTTGATTACAATCCTCGACAATATATACACATTCAATCATCTGAACAAGATGATTTTCAACAAGATTTTGAAGAATTAAATCAATCAAATCATAATAATCAAACAGATGCAAATATTAAATTAAAATTTGAAGTTCCATCATATGCATTATCAGATCGTTCAATTGAAGATTATGCTACAGATGCTAATATCGAATTATTTTATCGTATACTTGTATCAGATTCATTAGCTGGATCACCATTTCTTGAATATATGTCTGAAACAATACCTAAAACTGATATAATTTCACTTCAAACTTGTATGCATTGCATTACTGATGCTGAAGTTTTATTATCCATCCCAACCGGAAAGTATAAGGAAAGAATTCTTAAACAATTTATTTCGCGGTAAACAATTCAATTTTAAACATATACAAGAATTCTTCTCTATGTTCATAGGTATTTTGAAGTAACAACTGCTGAAGTATTACCTAGTCAGATTTTTGATAATATTGAAGAACAAAGGAATGAATTAATTAAAGAATTAATAAGACAAAATAATAATCAATATTTTCTTCTTTGGAAAATTTTATTAAAAATTACAAAAGTAACATATTTTTTGTGTAATTCATATTGATATTTTTGTAAAACACAATATAAAATGCTATGGGCACCTTGAAATTCATCAGAGATCATGACAGACGCTAATCAGTAGAGCTCATCAGGTTGGTCTGGAAGCCGAATACGCTCAGATCTGTATTGGAGTCTGAAAATTTTGGACCTAATTGGATCTTACTAGTCAAAGGCCATGACAGATGTTGTTGACATACGATCAAAGACTATATATCAATAGCATCTCGTTCTAATACATGAAGTACTTCCTTATTGCATTTCTGGAAGATTACGTATAAGGATGGCGAAGAAATATATCTCAAAATAGATAGCAAAACGCAATCTCTTTGTAATTAACAGCAGCAATTACATCGTATTTTACATTTTAATCTCACAGGAATTATGCTAACAGCTGTTTCGTTTTTTTTAGTTCTTAATTCCTCATTTTCTAAATTATATTAAATTCGATCGATTTCGTTGTCTCATTAAAGTAAACTTTATTATTTTTAATTTCTCAAATAATTTTATTTTTTCATCAAATTAAGGGCAAAATTTTAAATATAAATCTTATCATTGATGATCTTCATCATATTTTACCTTTAGTCAATTTTGACACATTACTAATAAATCAACAAAATACTAAAGAAACTGATTTAAAACAAACATATTCTAATGAAACAGAAATTTTCTCAAGAAAATATTTAATCACTTGCAATGAACAACAAAATGATCTTTTAAAGTCTTTGATTAAAAATCAATTTTATACAACAGAAAAACAAATTAATACCGATGAACAATGTGAATTTCAAACAGGTGAACGATTTCGTCCATTAACTAATAATGAACTTGAACAAGAATTACGTCGATTATATACAAAATTCGAAGAAAAAACTATCGAAACTATTCTTGGAAAATCATTCGATGCTTCAATAATACCTCATCAAACAAATATTTCAGTATAAAAATTTTTCTTATCATTATTTAAATATCATTATTTTTCTTTGTAGACATTTATTGGTAATCGATTATCACATAGTAAAACAAATCAAACATTAATATCAAATGAATATTCAAAATTGGATACAATTGAAACATTTACACTTGATATAATAAATTCAGCTCGAGATATATTTGAAATCGATTGTTTTATATCAAATATAATGAATGAAAGTTTAAATCTTATTCAAACAAATCCATTATTAAAATCAATAAAAAGTAATTCAAGTTCATCATCATCATCATCATCATCATCAATATCTGATGATATACTTATGACAAATTCTTCATCAATAATAACCTATCCAGAAATCATTACTAATGATATAAATACAAATGCATTTATATCTTTAAATTCATCTGAAATAAATTTTATAACATTAAAAAAAATTCCTTCATTAATTGGTTCATATTTTATTAATTCACCAATTATAACTAATGATAATTTTATTTCTCAAATTGAACATACATTTATAAATAATTCTATAGATTCTCTTGATAATTTTCAATTATCTAATATAATTAAATTAAATAAATCATCCATGATAAATATTAAACATATTGATAAACAAGAAAATTTTTTTCATGAAACAATTCAAATTACACATGAAGATAAATGTAATGAAATAAAAAATTTTATTATTGAAAAAAAATTTTCCTATTTTCAAAATAATAATGAACAAAAACAATTAATAAAATTTATTCAAAATGAAATAAATAATTATCAATGGCCATTACATGAATATATTGGTATACAAGGACAACGTTCATGGCATGCTTTAAAATTAGCAATTGATATTTCAAATTTTGATAATGAATTTATATTAAATTATCATAATGATTTCGATTGGATTTCAATTGATAATAATTATGGTTCATTTAATCAACGAACTTATTTAATCATACGAAATTTTCAACAACGTATTGAAAAAATAAAATCTATTCAATCATACAGATAACTATTTTTCAATTAATTAAATCATAATAAAATTTTCATTTGTACTAAATGTAGATTTTTCTTTATTAATAAACTATGACATCTTATCAACTAATTGTCAATACGAGAGACACAAAAAGAAATCATGACTGACATCTTGAAATTTTCTTATGCATGATTGTACATGTCTATTTTAATAGAAAAGATAGATTACTAGACGATGTTATTATCGTCATCTATAAGAATCTATTCTGTGTAATGAAGGAAATAGATGCTTGAAAAAATTTCATAACATATGTTTGACAAGTTTATTAAAGCTTACAAATTATTCTATTTTAGAGCAATCTTTGAGGAATATATTGAATATGGATGATGAATGTATCAAGAAAATAGAAATGACTGTCTGGAAAATTAGAATTCTAAATCGAATACAATGTTACATTTATCAATGTTCTATAGATCATAAATACAATCAGAATAAATTCGATATTATATCTTTAGACATAGAACTACATATTCTAGGATAAGTTTTTCTTTTGTTTTCAAATTATTTACATGATAAATCTTTTCATTTTGTTAGTTTTTAATTATTCTGATATAAATGTTCATCATAAAAATCAATATAAATGTCTATTAGAAGTTCTTTTTTTTTTTTGTTTCTCCTCTTACAATAAATATTTGTTATATGCAAGAAATGAAAATTTTGAAAATAATATATTCTTTATATTTATCATTCGGCGACAAAAAAAAAACAAAACAATAATAATTATACGCAAATATTTAACATAAAGTTTCTGTATAGGTTTGTTTCGATACATTAATATCTTTTGAATAAATATCAAAATAATTTGGATTACTCCATTGTGATGTTTGAGGAAAATAGTGTGCTACTTCAAGATCACATGGATCATCAGATGGTGGTACTTGTTCAAACATATTATATGAAGGACGTGAATAAAATTGTTTTTGTTTTTGTTTTTGTCCAATAGGTTTAAATGCACTATTTTTTGTACTAATAAAATCACTTAATGGAACATAATTTGAACGATTATAATCATAATTATTATTTGTATATTGATATGGATAATAATTTTGTGATGATAATGTTTCAAATGGATAATATTGATGACGATGCATATTATAATTATTATTTTCTAAATTAGCCATTGTAGCTAAACGACGATAAGATGTTGAATATTGATGAGAATTATTTTTTGTTGAATAACCATATGAAGGTTGATGAGAATAACAGTCATGAATTGACGCATAATTTTTATGTTGATGTGATGCTATTAGCTTTACTTGATGATTATGTGATGGATATAGATCGATAGAATAAACCTTTTCAAAAAAAAAGAAAATGAAAAGAAGCATAAAAAATATGTTTTTCTTTTCCTTTCTTTACCGGTTCGGTAAATGAACTTTGTTGATAAACAGATGATAAATTATTTTGGTGATAATAGGGTTTTTTATTATTATATATTGAATATTCTTGTTTATTTAGTGATATAGAATTATCTTCTGATAAATGTGTTATTGGTGTTGTTGATGTTGCTTTACTACAAGTTGTTATTTTTGGTACATGTACTTGTGATGATGATGATGATGATGATAATAATGGTTTAGAAATAAATTTTGATTTTGCACGTTCATATTGTCGACGTATAAAACTTGATATACGTGAAAGATTTTTATTTACTATAAGTTTATCATATGTAGAATTATTTGTAATTGAAATTGTCTTTTCTTGTAATTGTAATGATGATGATGTTGATAAAGAAGATTTTTCAAGTGTATTAGGTAAAATTTCATGAATCGATTGTGGAGATTGATTTGCTGGTGTTGCAGATGATAGATCACTATGATAACCACTTGAACTTGTAGTTTGTGGAGATATACGACGTGAATCAGTCATTGGAACATTACCATTCGAACGCATAATTATTGACGAACGAGATAATGGTGTTACAGGAAATGATGTTAAAAGACAATCAAGACTTGTCCAAGCTACAAACAAAAAATTAAAAAAAAAACGAAAAGTAAAAAATGCACAATTAAAAATAAATGATTTATCTGCAATCAAAGTCAATTCTTTTTCCTTTAGTTTCATATTAATATAAACGACAACTGCCTTTTTTTTTTGCTTTATCATCTTTACGAACTTTCTTTTTCTGATGCTTCTTTCTTTTTTTTTTTCTTATTCATAAAACATTAGTCTCCGCTCTTTTCTTTATATACAACACACACACATCGATCGTTAGTAACTGGGGACGATAATTTTCTTTGGGGAAACACACAATGTGTTGTCACACACAGACGTCTAAGGAGGATAAGACACACACACATGCGTGTATGAATTGAGTATACTTGACCAAGCAGATAGAGAGAGAGGGAGGGAGAAGAAGATGGGTGCAGTAGGCATCATAGGGTGCAATTAGTGTGATAAGTGGCCTCGATATATACGTTTATATGTATGTGACTCTTAAGCGTAATGCCTAATTTGTGTGCAATGAAGAAAAGGGATGCTGTTGATGCTATATATATATACAATCAACGGCACAAGTGTATTGAACGATGATCGTAGGGCGGCGACTATAAACGGTTATAGAAGAGACTCATATACTTGCAGAAAATAATAATGATGATGATGTAATAGACTCATTGATATATTAAAAAAAAGTGGCTATAACAATAAAATATGCATATATATGGGTTTTTTTTTGACACAGCAACGATGAGATGTCTAGCACCACTTGAAATCAATATATGTAGTGTATCAATCTAATTTAAAATAGAAAAAAAAAAAAAAGAAGAACAAAAAGTATCGTTTGATCATATACATATGCATAGATTTGTTATAACTAAGCCACACTAAAAGTTCTAAAACTTCATTATTATTTTCCAATCGAATGAACAAGAAAATATGCAAGCAAATAAAACAAAAAAAAAAAGAAAAAAGAGAAAATCTCTATATGATTAGTGATTCAATTCTCTTTCTCCATCTGATTTTGATGACATTCTTCAAAGTCAACACAATTTCTTCTTTTTTTTTTATTGTGTTTCAACTACTGTGTTTGACCGTAGAGACATACAATAGCAACTATATAAAAGACATACTTGCAAAAAGTCATTATTATTATTATTTACTAGACGCGGCCACATTTACTATCGCTATCGTCAAATGAGTGCCAATTGCTATATACATTCATTTGTTGTGATGTATACACATTTATATATATATGTATATAGGATTGTCGCGACAACGATGATATTATGATAGCATACTACATACCACATACTCGGCAATTACCTTTCGAGTTATGATGAGAATGTTGTTGGGTGCGCAGCTGCTTCATCTTTTGACTGTCTGGTGCAAATGTCTCTCGAATAAAACTATGAGTGTCTTTTTCTTTTTTTTTTTTTTCTTGTTCTTTGTATTTTAAAGATTGAACAACGAAACATATAATAAAGAAAAGAAGAAAAAAGAAGAAGAAGAAGAAGAAAGAAGGAAGAAAACTGAATTGAAACTTGATCAATCTCTTTTGTATACCTATGTATGATTATGTCATTCTCAATAAAAATAGTCTCTTTCTCAAGCCGTATGACCTGTTTCTATTTGCGCAAAGACATACATGAACTATAATGTTTTATTTGTAGTTTCATTTAAGAAAAAGAAAAAAAAAGAAAATTAAGAATAAACTCACAAAAATTGACATCAATGATTAACAGTTTGTCTATTTCTGTTCAATAAATAGACAAATGCAATATGCATAAATCAACGGCGATGAGATGCAGGGTGGAACTTTTCTCTTGCGCTTCTCTCTCTCCCTCATTTTTACTCGTGCGTGCATGCCAACGTTGTGATTACGTCAACATTAATTTCTATCTATGCATGTAAACAATCTATTGTCGACACTTCTCATATTGATTGTTGACGACGGCGCCGGTTTCATACATACGCAGACCTTTGTCCGTGAACATATTTCCTGTAAAAAGAAAAAAAGAAAAGAGCTATTTGCCTCATCTACTGTTTAGACTACATTTCTGTTCAGCATCATCAATGGTTTATTTCGGTGACATTCTTCATCTTCTTCCTTTCTCTTTCAATGTATTAATAAGCCACGAGAGAATGAGAGAGAGAGAGACAGAGAAAGACTACAGTTCAGAAATGATGAACGCGTGCAAGATTCGAATCTCTGGCATATAAAGCACATTTGCATATTTTCTCATAGTAATCCATAGGCAGACAAAACTCTTCTTATCAGCAAACATTACATCTTTCTTCTCAAGGGAATGGCAACGGGAAGCGGTCGGTCAATCCCTACTAGAATTGAATTCGTTGAATGAGAATGCAATGTCACATTTAGATGATTTTTCAATAGATTATTAATTAATAAATTGATTTCTACGTACTTAAATTAGTTTGTTTAAATTTTATGAATGTGAATATTAATCTAAAATAAATATACTAAATTATCTTCGTATTAATTACAATTCATAAACATATGTATTAAAGAAAAGAACGAAAAAAAAGAAAAAAAAAAAAAAAGTTTAACCTAGTTGACCTTGATGTCTGACTTTCGAGATGTAATGTTAACGATAAAGTTCAGTTTAAAATTGTACAATGAATGTAAAAAAAAAAAAAATTTATAAAGAACAACAATCTTCTTTAGTCTAATCATCATAACGATTGATGATCAAGAAGCTTTATATATGCTTATAATGTGAACAAAACTCGATTACCTTACTGTCGAATTATTCTTCTTGTTCTTGGATCGATCAGTATGCAAGCCGCGAGTATTTGTTCTTGAACTTTAGCTTTATGTATGCAGGAAAAACTTGTCAACACGATTACTTATTATGTTAGAAGCAAAAGGTTTCTTTTTCTTTCCTCTATCTATCTTTTTCTTTCTAATAATCAGTATTACTATTGATAGAAAAGGATATTGGGGTGGGAACCAGCTAACATACATGCATACATATTATATCATCTCTCATATGCATTCTTCATCTTTCATCATT